TTCATCTGGCTACCTCAAGCAAATGGAGAGTATACTAGTCGATCGGGCCATCACGCCGTAAGAGACTCAAAAATTCCACTAACCACACCGCCTTAACGCTTTGAAAACTTCAACTGGATTCTGAATGTCTGAGCAGAGAATTTCTCACCCAAGCTGAAGCTCTTTTTATGGAAAATTCTGCAAAATACAGTTCCCATTTGTGAAATTTTAGCAAAAAAAGAACTTTTATCGAATATAAATTGCATTAGATGCGGATTACCAGAAACAGTCACCCACCTTTTCTTCCAATGCGAGTTTGCAAAAAGCGTCTGGAGAGAAGCACTCCTCAAAGATACCTTGGACCTCTCCCATCTGACTTAATTTGCAGAAGAACTAATAGCATCCCATACTACAACACCTCTTCCCCAAAAGCAGATCTTCACCCCCACACCCCCCCCCCCCCCCCCCCCCCCCCCCCCCCCCCCCCCCCCCCCCCCCCCCCCCCCCCCCCCCCCAAAAAAAAAAACCATCGTCAAAGTCACAGTAGACACCCGAGATTGGATACTCGCTCAAGTCATGCTGGAGAAACTTTCACCAACAAGTCGCTTCACTTACCCAAACCCAATTAGTGGTATACCTTGAGATACACTCCCATGCAGCACTGATGCATCTTGGAATTCGAGCACTAGGACAGCGGGATTATGTTCGATCTTTCAATAACAAACCGGTATATATCTTACTCAGGGATCCCAATCGAAGAGAGTCATCAGATCTCCACTCATGGATGAGGCTCTTCCTGTTTAGAGGCCTTACAACATGCAAGCACCCTCTGCGTCTGCAAAATCTGTCACAAATCAGTTTTACAAGTGCTCATCCGAGCAATCAACACCGGTAACAGATCGACGGAATTCTACGGAATCTTTTCTGATATCAACGATCTATTTACTAATTTTCATTTTATCTCTTTCTCCTTTATTCCCAGAAACTTTAATTATCTAGCTGACAGTCTAGCTAAAATAGTTTTTGTATCTACATCAGTTGTATAAATTGATATAACTATTGGGCTATAGACTTTTTTTTTTAATATATGTTAAGTTGATAAAACAAAATCTGCTAAAAAAAATTGAATTTGTTAAGAAATTTTTTTTTTAAAAAATTATTTTTCTATTATTTATAAGAAAAATGAGTAGAATAAAATTATTTTCTATCATTTCTGTTACACTATTTTTTATTCCAATGGCTTCTTTTTCACTAATTCTCCTAGTATCATTTGCACCCATAAATTTTTTAAGTGGCCAAACTAACAATTTGTAAACATTTACATTTTATCTTGTTTTTTTTGTTGTTGTTCATTTACATTTTATCTAAATGTTGTGTTTGAACATGAAAACGAACATACCTTAATTATACTGAAACGTAAAATAATTATATAATTTGTGTTAGAATTAGTAACACACTATTCACTAATTTGTTAGTACCTAGAATTGAAGACATATCAAAGTTAAAGTTATAGAATGTGATCCCAGTTTTAACAATTAAAATGTTATATATATATATATATATATATATATATGCAAATTACGAAGGTGCGCCTCGAAAGGAACTTATCCTATATTGACTTTCATGTATAACTTTCACCATCTGACTTTTACAAGCAACTAAGGTTTATTATAAATATATCTGAGATTATGACTACTTAACCTATAATAAGATCAAAAGTCTTCTTCCTCTACCGACACATCTCAACGCTATTTTGTTGATAATACCTACCAGATTTTGTTGTTGTTTTTCTTCCCGCAAACCAGATCTAGTTATATATATGTTTTCCAGTTGCATTATTATTCTCTTACAGTTAATATTAAGGAACATCGACACTAGTTATCATTAACCAAACACAGAGCGTTATATCGATAAGATTCATGTTTTCTAATGATTATGCAATTATAAGTGAAACTTATTCGCTCTCAATAATTAAACGGACAGAATGTTCTTCGCAATTGATAACTGACACGACTTAATTAATCTTTCCCTTTCAATATTTCCCCCCACTTAGAATTTTGTCGGCAAAGCATATATTTTTTTTTTGTTAAAGGATTTAGCAAAGCAAAGCATATTTCTATATTCATCATGTAAGTTGTTTGATTATATTTATTTTGATGAAAATGATAAAAGCAATTGAATTTTATGAAATATATCGTAGAAATTCTATAAATTAATAAGTTTTATTTTATTTTTGAGTGGACTGATTTAAAATATAACACAAATTAATAAAATAATATATTTTTAAGAAATTTATGTTAAAAATACGATTATAAATTAATAATTACTATAAAAATACAATTATGATAATCTACTAAAATAGGAATATATTATTATTTATTTTTTATTAAAATTCAAATATTGTTACAACTCATCTATAATTTTAAAATATAAAATTTGAAAAGATTGTAAAATTTAAGAAAATAGTATTTTAATTAATGATTAATAAATATTTAATTTTATTCAAAATTGATAAATTAATAACTCTAAAATTAATCAAATATCAAATGTACAATATTATTAATTTATAGAATTTCTACTGTGTTTCTAATATTCAATAATTATTTTTTAAATCATTTAGTTAAAGCATATATTATTAGATTTGTCATAACCTTCTATTTTTCTCTAATAATTTTTTTATTAATTTTAAATCAAGAATACAAAGTCACAATACAACACTTTCGAAAAACAATTACTCAAATCTTCTGTACCAAAACAATTTCGACTTTTTAATTTGTTTTTCTTTCGACTTAATCCCAAAAATATATTTTTAGTGTGTTTAAAAGTTTAGTTTACCCTAAATAACTGTAACAAGGGCCAATCCATTACAAACCTATTAGATACAAAAAAACTAGTAATGAAAAAAAATGGTTTTAGTATGTGTATGAGGACGAAATTAACTAACTATTACTAACTATTGGTCAAATTAGCATAATGTTGACTAGCAGTTATTGATCGATTCGATAGAGAAATATGCGACTTTTTCCCAACTGATTTTAATGTCCGTTTCTAAGACTTTCTTTTTGGTATGAATTCAGGTCCAGATCGAGTCGTACACAATATAGTTGCAATTTACTGATCAATTCTTAAATTTCTGTATGCTTTTAGAACACTGTTAAATATACATACACTACAAGAAAACAGACATTCTGACGGCATAATTTCTGTCGAAAATTTTCTGACGGAAATTCGATACAATTCTGATGGATATTTCCGTTTGTCGGATTTCTATCGAAAATTTTCGACGGAATTCTTATCGTTAGAAATATCCGTCAGAAATCCATCAGAAACGTCAGAATTTCTCAGATAGTTGCCTTTTAAAAACAGTTGTTACATAGCTGTTGGAATTTTAAAATCCGTCAAAAATTTTCGAAGGGAATTCTCAGATAGTTGCCATTTAAAAATAGCTGTTTTTATAGCCTTTTTGTAGCCGTTGGAATTTTTAAAATCCGTCAAAAATTCTCATACATTGGCCTATTTAAACCCTTCTCCTCTCCTTCTCTCATTCATATAACAAGCTAAAATCCAAAAAAATTGTTTGACAATGTCTTCTTCGAATCGTTTTAAAAAATTTAGGCCGTGGATAGACAAATCTTCGAACGATCCAATGACGGGATAAATTACAGATGAGTTTGCAGAAGATCTACATCAATTCATTCAATTCGCATCAAACCAGGAGATAACATTACAGTCTGGTAAGATGTACTGTCCATGTAGTATATGTGGGAATAATAGATTTATGTTGGTATCTTCTGTTCAAAATCATATAATTAGACGAGGATTTATATCGGGTTATAAGATTTGGTATTCGCATGGAGAAAATGATTCAATGTTTAGTTTTGCTAGTACTAGTGAACATTGCCCTGGAGATAGGTTAGAAGAACCTAGAACGGAAGTAGATGAACAGTTACGTACTATCAATATGATTAATGATGCATTCCGTAAAAATATACCATTGTTTGTTAGATTGATAGATCTGTGATTTATTTATTTTGTATAATTGTTTTTTTTGCAATTTTGTTAAAATTATCTTACATAATTACATTTTTCCTAATTGTTATAATTTTTAATTTATATAATTATGATTTTTGAAATGTTTACTTTAAAATTGTTTTTCGGCAATTTTATTATAATTATTTTACATAATTACATATTATTTTTGCCAATTTTATTATAATTTTTTATATAATTACGAGTTTTCATAATTTTTATAATTTTATGACAATGTTTTTTATTTATATTATCTAATAAAATTTAATCATACCATATTGTTATTAATTTAAAATGTATTACAATATTTTTAGGGCATTCTATAATTATTTTAGATCCCAAGATGGTCAGTCTGTAGATACTCCATATCCCGAGTTTCCTTTGGACTTCACTCTCGTTGATAGTTCTACCCTCGGTAACAGTAATGTTGCTTAAGCTCAAATAGACGTAAATGAGATTATAGAGACATATCAGGATAGTAAGACAAGGCGTGATCCTCTTTGCAGAAAGTCGACCTGGTTTGGCTTGGATAAGCGTATCACTAAACACACTTTACATATGTTGCATGTGATGCTTAAGATACCTTACAAAAGGTATTGTAAAATGCCACAAGAAGAAAAAGATATGTGGTTCCGTTCATTCGCGGTAAGTTATTTAATTTTTTTAAATATATCATATTTTTTCAATAAATAATTTCTAATCTTTTTTTTAATATGTAACAATATTATTTTTGGGACCTTGTACACTCCTCTGAGGTGGAAAAGGAATTCCATGCCAGAGTTGCTGTCCAGTATTCAAGGCACATGAATGACTGGAAGCGAAAGTGGAGAAAGGGTGTTGTTGATTGTCCTATCGAGTTGAACAAGACGTGTTGGAAAATTTTCCAAATTTATTGAGCCGAGGCTGCGACGGAAAAACTCTCGAAAAAGAATTCAAAAAACTGATTGAGCGAGCGATGTGGTAAAAGAATATCAACATATAATTCGGGAGCCATGGGTTTTGTTCGGTGAGCAGCAAAAATGGTAAGATTTATAGATGAATTATTTTTCTTACTTATTGTTTAAGCTTTTATAAACTATTTCTTTTTAATATAGGCAAAAAAAAATGGTGGTGTCCATGTCCCTTACTATGACTTTGTGCAAGTTACCCACACCAACCAGACAACAAAGCAATTGCAAGACGGAATTGACATTGACCTGGTTGAAAAAGTTTGTAGAAAAAAAGAAGAACGACTTACTCAGTTATCTCAGCAAGGAACGCCTGTTGAAGGCCTTCCCCGAGAAGAAGTCGACACAATAGTTTTAGAGGTAATTACTCAATTTAAATTTATTTACTTCTGTAAGATTTTATGTAGTTTCTAATAAATATTTTTTATGTTATAGTATACTCCAAAAAGAAAGGGCCGTTTATTTGGATTAGGATGTCTTCCTGAAATATACAAGGCTGGATGTTCATGGGAAAACTCACCTACGGATCGTGAAATTGTATTGGAACAAGAAGTTGCAGAATTAAAGACTAGACGCAATGCAAAAGACGGCGAATTTGAGAAAATGAAGGAGTTTATATCGAGAAAATTTCTAGAAGAATTTTAAATTTTATAATGTATTTGCATTATAATTTATATTTTTGATAATTTTAATTTTAATTTTATTTCCAATTTCTTTTTTTCTTTTTTTCTTTTTTTATTAATTTTTATATAGTCCGTTGGAAATCCGTTAGAATGTCTATCGGAAAATACCGTCAGAAGACCGTCAAAATTTCCATCGGAAAAAGCCCGTTGGAATTCCGTCGGAAATCATCAGTCAGAATCCCATTGGAAATTTCCGATTAATCTATTCTGTTGGAAATGATCCGTCGGAAATTTCCAACAGGATTCTAACTGAACATGCATTTCTGACGATCTACAGGCGACGGTGAAATCCGTCGGAAAACCGTCAGATATACCCATTTCTGACGAATTTCTCCATCAGATCTGATGTGTTTTCTTGTAGTGATATACCGATATATGTGGATAAGTTTTATGATTATCAACTCAAACCTAATTAATTGGCCTTTTTTTACTTGTATATTATTAATTATGTGTTTTTCAGAAAAGTTGGTATCAAATTATAAATGTACTAGGTAAATACCCGCGCTACGCTGCAGAGTAATTTTTAATTATAAATTAAATTACAGAAAATTATATATAAAATTAAAATTTTACATATTATATTTTTTGTTATTGCAATATAACTAAAACTTACATATTTTGTTGTTGTTGTCAACATCTTAAAAATTTGTTTTTGCTTGAAAAACTATCTTCGTCTGTTTGTATGCGAGCTGATTGCTTCGTACATTTAACCCTTTGATTTTCATTATTGTTCTCTGGTCTCCTCTTTCCCGTTATAAAGTTTTTTTTCTTTTTGTGAACTTAACATTACATATTGCATATGTTCCTATATATTTTTAGGGGTTTTTCACTAAAACCCCTCAACTATAAGTCAGTTAATAAAAAATCCCATTGTCTATAGTACTAAGGGTTTGAGGGGTTTTATTCTTTATTCATATTTACTTGAGGAGGTTTTTCATTAATTTTTTTGAAATTTTGCAAAACACATGTCGTTTTTTACAACCTAAAATGCATAGTTTTAATTTAACGTTAGCTGTTGTAATTTTAGCAGTATTATAGACGGGGAGATTTTTTTATTAAGAAACTTATAGTTAAGGGGTTTATACATTAAATCTATAGTTGAGGAGATTTTCTTTGATTAATCTTCAGTTGAGGGTTTTTTTACTAAAAACCCTATTTTTTACTCATTTTAATATATAGATTGGAGCAGCCTTATTCTCGAAGCTGAAAGCTTAGTCCAACCCAGTTTGGTTTTTATTTCCGAGTAACTTTCTTTTCTTTTCTCTCTTTCTTTACCTGAAATAAATAATGTATCAATAATTACAAACCCAGGGATAGATATTCTCCATAGCTGGAAACCCGCTCCAGCAGTTGGCCATCCGAGTCAATTACAAAGGAAACGCTATACAATTGGAAAGGCTTTCATACGATGAGCATTATCAGGCAAGTTATTGATTTTTCTCTGAATTGGAACAGCACAGATATATATGTTCGTTTGATCGTCGATGTAATTGAGCTGTTTAATCTCCCGTACAACATCTTAAACCGCTGATCCAACACCGACATTTGGTTTCTCTGATTGCTTAGCTGTTACTGTGATGAGAACAATTAGATGATACTGATTTATGAGTATATGAAGAATGGAACTGTAAAGAGTCATCTTTACGGCTTGGGTCTTCCTAGCTTGACTTGGAAACAATGGCTTGAGATTTGCATTGCTGCAGCTAGAGGGTTGCATTACCTACACACTGGTGACTCGAAACTGGTGATTCACATCGGTTAAACCGAAAAATTAAATCAGTATCTGGCTGAACCGAAACATAAACCAAACATTTAAGCCAAATCTCAAACAGAGTGAACCAGCGACGGTAAACTCAAGTGGCTCAGAACTAAACTTCGATCGACGAGTGTAAACGGCTTCTCCTCTCCAGTTAAAAAGTGAAGATGAAGCTTAGGGTTGTGTATCGTAAAGTCTTTGATTACATCCGTTACAATCTCAAAGAAATCGTCTTACCTTCTTCACTTCCTGATCCTCCTCACGTCGTAAAACGCCGCAAGTTGACCTGGCACGAGCGATTTCTAGTGAGCTTCCTTCCTTTGAAATTTTGCGTAGTCTTCTACATCCACGGTTTGGGTGTTCTAAAATTTCTTACAAGGATAAGCAAGTTCGCTTATTTTTGCCGTGCTTAATGTTATTGTGGAACTCTGTTTGGTTTTCTTCTGTCCAATTTGTAGTGAATGAATCCTTCAGCTACGTCTTTAATCATCATTGTTTGCATATACATTAAGGGGAAAACTCTTATGCGAAGAAAACAAAAAGAATGTTGCAGATATATTATCTACAATGTGAGATTTGGATATTCTCTATAGCTGAATCTATGAAAATATAGAGACTCCTATTGTGAATCTATGAACACTTCTACAGATGAAACCCAAATAGGATCCTAAGTACACTTAGCTTTAACATAATCTTAGAGAAGCAAAACTTAGATTCATGATGAAAAACATGAAGCCAAAGATAATCTACACTTTCAAACAGTTCAACAGTTAACCCAAAACAATACTATCACTAAACTTACAGACTCACAAACGCAAGCCAGAATTTCAAATCAGAATTCCATAGACGCATGCCAACCTTGCATAGAGGATAAACGATATCTAAGTTTATCAAAAATGCAGAACTAAGGTATATACCCATCTCTTTCTGCAAAAAATCAAAATTGGAACATTTCTTATTTCTTCATGGTATATGAAACGATTCTCGTTCGATAGTAAAATCCAAAAAAACGAAAATTTGAGAAATTTGAAGATGATTCACAATAAACGTCACCTGAAAATCAGCTCAGGGACCTGTTGTGATCTTAATATTTCAGAGCTATTTCAAACGTTTTCACCACCTTGCTTCTCTTTTTTCACCACAATTGCAACTGATCCCCTCGTCGACCCCGAGATGTTGACCTAGAGACCTCTTGCCGGAGTTGCGCAGGAGTAAGGTAACATCGAAAATATCGGAGGAGCTCTCAGTAATCTCATTAGAACATCAAATTTGGGTTGAGCTATCTAATGTGTTTGTGCTATCAAAACAATAAAATGAGCTAAGAATAGTTTTTTTGACCCAGATGAATTGAAAACATTTTTTAGATAAAATGTGGGCTTTTTTATAGATTTTAATTTTAGTTATGTTTTTTTTTGACCCAGATGAATTGAATTTTTTTTAAAATGAGCTGTATTATTGAAATGTTTTAATTGGTGAATTTATTTTCTGAGGTGTCAGCTTCTCAAAAATTAAAAAATCTGATCTGTCAACTTATGGAGAGACTTGAGTGTTATTGTAGTAAAATCCAAAAATACGAAAATTTGAGAAATTTGAAGAGGATTCACAATAAACGTCACCTGAAAATCAGCTCAAGGACCTGTTGTGATCTTAATATTTCAGAGCTATTTCAAACGTTTTCACCACCTTGCTTCTGTTTTTTCACCACAATTGCAACTGATCCCTTCGTCGACCCCGAGATGTTGACCTAGGGACCTCTTGCGGAGTTGCGCAGGAGTAAATGAACATCGAAAATATCGGAGGAGCTCTCAGTAATCTCATCAGAACACCAAATTTGGGTTGAGCTATCTAATGTGTTTGTGCTATCAAAACAATAAAATGGGCTAAGAATAATTTTTTTTGACCCAGATGAATTGAAAATATTTTTAGATAAAATGTGGGCTTTTTTATAGATTTTAATTTTAGTTATGTTTTTTTTTTGACCCAGATGAATTGAATTTTTTTTTAAATGAGCTGTATTATTGAAATGTTTTAATTGGTGAATTTATTTGCTGAGGCGTCAGCTTCTCAAAGATTAAAAAATCTGATGTGTCAACTTATGGAGAGACTTGAGTGTTATTGTTGTATTGATTTGTGAAAAATAATTTTATTATTCCGTTTCATATATATCACTCTAAAATCAGTAGTAAATTTAAGATCTTTACGTATTATTGTTATTGTAGATACTACTTATATCAAATGTTAATTTAAAATCAGTTGATTATTGTTTGGGAAAAAATACCGGCCCAAAAATTTTAGATACAATAAATTTTAATAGTTTAAAGGTCTAACAAGGGAGTAAGCTTACTTACTAAAGTGAAAACATGTAAAACTAGGCCAAAGCTTTAAAACCATTCAGTATAAAAGTTATAATAAAAATTAGTTATGATAAAAAAAATAGTTAAAACTAACCTGAACATTTAATACCAATTCCAACTGCGAACTGATCAATTATTCAAATAAAGAATAATTTAATGTTCTGACCCAAAAAGAATATATAGCAATAAATAAAATTATTGCAAAATCAAGAAAAAAAATAGAGACATTAAACATTGTTTTAGAAACTAAAAAACAAAAGAAAGAACAAGCATCAAGGTTCAAGGGATAACTTTTTCTATCTACAACACTAATCTTTCTATATTTATATCACTCAAATTTTTACTTTTTTTATTTTGTTCTTAATCTATCGTTTCAATTCATATTCATTTTCTTTCTCTTATAAATGTTTATCATCAATAATAAAGCTATTTATTCATATTTTTTTGGTTATTTTGCTTATACAATTAAGTTGAAACCATTTTCGCATATGATTTGAACTAGGTATTTACCCACACTATGTTGCGGGATATTTTTCTAAATTTTATATAATTTTTCAATATAACAAAATTATTTTTATAATATAAATGAGTATTATATTTTTTATTAGCTTACGTTACGTATTTATATGTTTTAAATCTGAATAAATATTATATATTTTTATTTTTTTTTATTTTTCAAAATTATAATTTGCTATTAAATTTGTTTAGCTAACTAATTATAAATGTATATATAAGATTAAAGCAATAAATTTTTAGTACCTTCATGCTTATGGCAAATATAATATATTTTCTCCAATAAATTGTCACTTGATCCTCTTTTGTAATTATGTAAAGCAAAATACTATTTAAAAATAAATTATTAATTAATATGATTAACTTGAATTATAAAATTTATTTATTTATCAAATAGTTATTATAAACATATATTTCTATAACTACCAAACTATAATCAATAACATTCATATCAAACCATTGTCATTGCTTTAGAACAAAATAGAAAATTATGTTTGAACTGTTCAAATATCGTTTTAGTTGAAGTTAAATAATTAAATTTGTTTACTGTCAGCATACTTTAACTTGGAAATTTAGTATAGAGAAATTTCATCTTCTTACAAAAACCGAGAAATCGTATTTTTCGTCAAAACCTAATAACTTCATTTTCCTATTA